AGTTTGTGTGGGACCAATACCAAAAAAAGGGCCACATTCGACATAGTCACACAAACCTCCAAAAATGGGACTACAAAGAGCAAATTGAATATACAACACATATATGAAACATAGACGTTACAACTTAACTGATATATATACCTATATGTCTGGGTAGGGGGCTCGCACCGTCCTACCCGTGCTGAAGGAAAAATTGCATTGCACTGTAAGCTCCTGTTACATGTCAATCACTGGAGTCCCGAACTAGCCAGTGATATCATGGCCGCAGAACTCAGCGTTTGCACTTGAGTAAGCCAAATGCCGTATGGGGTCTTGCTGGCATATGACAGGAGAGAGAATTCTGTGAAAACGTAATGAGGCAACAAATCACAGACGGTAAAAAATTTGGTTGGTAGGTTCTGTTTATCAGTTGTTTTGGACGTGCTGCTTTTTATCGCTTTGCAAAACAGGGAGACCAATAAAAACCAGCACATGCGCCCCTAGTAAAACACCACACATGTGGCAGCTAGTCAGTTTATTTATGGTCCAATTTTAGGTACTTATATAGAAGCCATCAGCGCTACCTTTACAATTTTTTTATATTGTTGTACATTCAGATCAGTCCCTAACCCTATAGACACAAAGGGGCGTACAATCATGGTCCCTAACTCACAATTCATGATCTGATACACATACTAGGGCCAATTGAGGCAGGAACCAATTCACCTACCAGCATTGTATTTGGAGTGTGGGAGGAAGGTAAAACACAGGACGTGCTGTATCGCACTTGCAAAACAGAGTACCCGGATGAAAACCCACGCAGGCAAAGGGAGACACGCCTTTCACATATAATTGTACATAGAAACTCCAGGCAGGTGGTCCTAACTCACATTGCCATAGTTGGGATTTGAACCAACGACTTGAGTACTGCAGTACCTAAAGGTCGATAAAAAATGCGGATGACAACCACGCAGGCAAAGGGAGAAACATAGAAACTCCAGGCAGGTGGTGCCTTAGTTAACCACCTAGTTTACCAAGGTGCTGCCCAGTTCTGCCAGTTCCCACCCAGTGTCAGAATGGGCCCACCGTACTATCACAGTCCGCTATAAGTTGCTGATAACCACCATTACTACAATATTATATATATATATATATATATATTGTGTAAATATATATATAAAAAAAAAAAAAAAGACGAATATATATATATATATATACACACCACCATTTGACACTATAATGTTCACGCAATCCAATTAATATACACTTATTGTTTTTTTTTTTCTAAACAAAGGACATGTAGCAGAATATATTTTGGCCTAAAATTTATGAAGACATTTATTTTTTTTATTGGATATGTTCTATATCCCAAAAGTAAAAAAAAAATATATTTATATATATAATAATTATATATATTTTTTTTAAATTCTTGTCTTTTTTTTTCCATTTATACTGCAAAAAAAAAAAAAAAAAAACCCACGGTGGTGATCAAATACTACCAAAAGAAAGCTTGATTTGTGAAGAAAAAAAAAGATCTAAAATTTCATTTGTGCACAGTGTTGCATGACCGTGTAATTGTCAGTTAAAATAGCACAGCGCTGTATAGCAAAAAATGGCCTGGTTAGGAAAGGGGGGGTAAATCTTCCAGAGGGCAAGAAGGTATTATATGACCATGCCATATATTATGAGAATAACCGCATCTTTATCAATAGAGGAAAAAAAAAAAATTGCAAAAAGAAAATATCCATGGGCCAGTTATAACTGCAGTAATGTGTTGGTCACTGCAGTGCTCAGCAGTGGACATTACGCGAATGGCACCCCAACGCACGTACATCACCATATTGCATTTTGATACAACTACTGTGACATGGATGTTTTGGTGCGTTGACTGCTTTTTTTTTTTTTTTTATATAGGGCTGCCTTAGCAACACACGTCAATGCGTTTTGGATACACAACAGAGACTGTAACCCTGTCTCAGCTCGGTGGAAACTAAAAACATGGTTTGATTAGCATTTTCCACCTGGAAGTCTGGACCATGACTAAGTCCAAGCTCCAGCGATCATACCCACATCGTCCATCACCTCTGACCAGTCTGGTTTTCATGGACATGAGCTAAAATAAGGAGCGTAAAAAATGAATCTTATTCATACGTGAAGATGGAAATCACCCATAGGCGTATGGCGGACAGAACTTTCCCTAACTATTCTGTTTGTCTGATTCTGGTGCTCTGACCTTTCCACACAGAAATTAAAACATCAAAACAGTTGGCTTTCCTCACATTGAGTGTCACTATCCATGACCTTATATAGCCCAAATATACCAAAACCCATGGCTCTGCGCCTGACTGCTTTCATCCCACATGGACCACCCGGGTGCTGGCTTACCCCAGACTGTCTCCATTCTCAGAAGTTTAAATATAAGCCGCACTCCAAAACATAGCTTCTCTTTCGGTATTCATCAACATTAAATTTGTATACATTGACATCTCCACCCAAAAACCACCTTCCTTGACGCGTTTCTCCACTGCTGGCATGCTACCAAGGAAAGGGGATGATCAGGATGTATCCGGTCTATAAACCAGTGCTCTGGATGGACGGTTGGATAAATGGTTCTTATTTAGGACGTATCCGGTCTATAAACCGGAGGCTCTGGATGGACGGTTGGATAAATGGCTCTATATTTAGGACGCATCCGGTCTATAAACAGAGGCTCTGGATGGACGGTTGGATAAATGGTTCTATATTTAGGACGTATCCGGTCTATAAACTGGAGGCTCTGGACGGACGGTTGGATAAATGGCTCTATATTTATGACGCATCCGGTCTATAAACCGGAGGGCTCTGGACGGAACGGGTGGATAAATGGCTCTATATTTAGGACGCATCCGGTCTATAAACCAGAGGCTCTGGACGGACGGTTGGATAAATGGCTCTATATTTAGGACGCATCCGGTCTATAAACCGGAGGCTCCGGCCGGACAGTTGGATAAATGGCTCTATAATGAGGACGCATCCGGTCTATAAACCAGAGGCTCCGGACGGACAGTTGGATAAATGGTTCTATATTTAGGACGCATCCGGTCTATAAACCAGGGGCTCCAAATGGACGGTTGGATAAATGGTTCTATATTTAGGACGTATCCTGGTTTCCACTACAAAACAGAATGTTTGCACTGTTGTACAATGCACATACACACATTTTCTAAGCAGAATTTTTATACATAAGGTTGACATCCATTGGTCAGTAAATGACAAAACAAGCGGTCCTTATTTTTAATTTTTTTTTCTTTTGTAGTGGTTTAATTTTCTAAATGATTTTTACAATGCTAAAAGAATTTTAGTACAAATCTAGATCACCTGAGGCTTTTTTTTTTTTTAAACATTTTTCAATTTTAGAAAGAAAAAAAAAAAAAAAAAAAAGATAAAATGAAGGGCGCATGTATATAATACAGTTTTTTATTTCTTGAATGTAAGAAGTCACTGTAAATAAATACTACCAATGCTAGAGTAAGAATGATCCCCCAAAACACCCAAAATTACCAAAAACCGAAGCAAAGAACGCCCTCCCACCCCTCCCTCCCAAAAGTCTGTACAAGCTGCTTCCCGAATATGTTGAGCCATCAGAATCATGATTAAACAAAAACGTTCAACTGTTAAGAGGAGACAAATTCTAACTACGGTTATGAGACACCAAACTACCCAAAAAGGAGCTTAGCAAGAAATGTAGAATTTATTGTTTCGGATAAATGGCAGAATTGTACAAGCCTGTGTCAGGTGGGCTTTTATTTTAAGGTAAACTGGTATTTAAAAAAAAACCAAAAAAACACAACTATACATTTTTGAATGTTTCCAACCTGCTGTCTGGTTAACCCGACAGCAAAATCAGGAAAAAAAAAAAAAATTATTGCATGTGTATAATTTTTTTATATGTAATAAAAACTAACACACTGCACTCAGTAAAGTGCAAATATAAGATTAAAATAGAATTTTTATTTTTTTTTATATATGGCAATTGAAATTTTTTTAAAGCGACGCTCCACCCAAAAGGGGAAGTTCCGCTTTAAGGCTTTGTCCCCCGCTCCCCATTAAGGATTGGCACCTTTGGGGAGCAGGTACCGAATTTGACAGGTACCCGCTCCCACTTCTGCTGCGATCGCCTAGACGATTGGAAGCGGAAGTTGTCGTCCCCCCCCCCCCCCCCCCGTAGTCTTCTGGGACACGTGTCAGGTCCCAGAAGATTATGGGGCCCCGCACAAATCGCAGCGTTTTTTATGCATGCGCAGTGGGCACTCGCAAGCTGTGACAGCCGGTGGTGCCTACACTGAAGATGCCAGCGCCAGGGAGAGAAGACGGCCGGTGAAACCAGCGGAGGTGAGCAGACCGCTGGACCGAGGGGCATGTAAGTTTCTGCATTTTAAAAGTCAGCAGCTACAGTTTTTGTAGTTGCTGACTTTTTTCTTTTTTCTTCAGTAATCAACTTGAATAAATTAAACGTTAAAAAAAAAAAAAAAAAAAAAAGTCACCGAGCTAATTTCGGTGCTGGGATAGAAAAATATTTCCTACTATCGTATTTAACCGTTTCTCAAATGAACACTCGTGTCCATGTCAAAAAAAAAAAAAAAAAAAAAATTAAATTGCACTTGAAAGATTCTGCCCAAATCTTTTATGAATTTTATATGTAACTCTATTCCAAAGAAAAAAAAAAAAATATTAAAAAATATAAACAAATTCCCCATTTAGAGAAAAAAAAAAAAAAAAAAAAAACTTTGGATTCGATTGGCATTTTATGGTGTTCTTTACGATTATTAGAAGAAAGGATGCTGAAGGCCTATACAGTATAACTATGCGCGGGTCTGACGAATAGGTGAAGTTTTTTTTGTTTTTTTTTCCCGGACTGGTTATGGCAGCGCCGTTCCACTGTTGACGTGAAGGTTGATATTGCGTTAGTATGGAGCATGATTTCTACGTGTTTCTACCGCTCGGTGACGCTCAAAGCGCAAATTCCCCTACTGTCCTTGGCCTCAACTGACGGGGGCAACTTTTGGCTTGTGAATTTTGCGGTGGATGATGAGGCCCGGCCTCTGGGCGAAACACTTGCCGCATTCGGGGCACATGTACGGCTTCTCCCCCCGGTGAAGGATCTGGTGGTTGGTGAGGTGGGACTTGCGCCCAAAGCAGCGCCCGCACTCCTGGCACAGGAAGGGCTTTTCGCCTGTGTGGATGATCTGATGCTTGGCCATGTGCGACTTCCGTGAAAAGCATTTGCCGCAAATGGGGCAGGGAAAGGGCTTCTCGCCGGAGTGGATTCTCTCGTGCTTGGCACGGCCCGATTTGTCTGTGAAGCATTTGCCGCACTTGGAGCACGGGAAGGGTTTCTCACCGGTGTGGATCCTCTCGTGTTTAATGAGGTCGGCCTTGTACGTGAAGCCCTTCCCGCACGAGCAGCACTGGTACGGCCTTTCGGTCAAATGGATTCTGACGTGTTTCATCAGGCCGGAGTTGTCCGTAAAGCATTTGCCGCACTCGGAGCAGATGAAGGGCTTCTCGCCCGTGTGAGAACGCTCGTGCTTGATCAAATAGGATTTGTGCGGGAAGAATTTGCCGCACTCGCAGCACTGGAATCGTTTTTCGTCTACAGGAGTCTTCCGTCGGCGGACTTTGGGTTGGGGCTTGGGCTGAGGTGTCCTCTTCTGCCTGGTTTTGGGCTTTTGGACGTAGAACCCATCAAAATTAGGATTCAGGACTATGTTCCCCACCGTGTGCGTAATGATTTCGGGAGAGGATCCCCCGGTGTTGGATAGATCGAGGGCTTTCTCTGTGCAGTCCTCTGTTTGTATGTCTATGGTGACCGGGTTATCCTCTTCCTCCTCCTCCTCTTCTTCTGGAGAATCCTGCACCACGTCGTTCTCCTCCATATCGCAGGATAAGATCAGACAACCTTCCGAGGTCCGACGGACACGGCGACCATCTAGTGGATGCAGATTACAAAATTAATAGGATCAGTTCAAGCCAAGGGATGATTTACATTTAACGTCATCAGATAGCATGGTCATGTGGTCAAAGGCAACATAGCCACACCTTGGGCCCAACTTTATGGCTTCCTATGGGTCTTGGAAGCCCTTACGTCCAGTGTCCTGGCAACATGACCACATCTGCAATCCTGATGTTCTACATCTTGGCAACGCCTGTAGCATACTCCTCCCTTCTTGCCTTCCCTTGGCCTTTTGTCTACTGGCCCCCTATTTAACTTTACTAGCCCTGAGCCCAACACGTGTAATAGGTCTCCCCGTGTGCTCCTCTAGCTGCCCAGACACCACTCACGCTGACCCCAACCCAGCTCGACCCAAAAGGACAAGTAACAGCCGCACATCACTCCAGATCCGTCCACCCAGAGACCACTCACACCAACCCCCAGCTCAGCTTGACTTAAAGACTAGAACCCTAGATGCAAGACACCATAACGCGAAACACCACTGCACGCCAGGCTGTCTCCAATCAAGCGCCCCTAGAAACCATCCATCCACACCCGATCCCCTCTCCCTACTCCCCTAAACTCCAGCTACCAGAAGACACAGCGACGAGATACGCCACTGCACGCTGGACTATCGACAGCCAAGCCTCCCACCACTCCTATCCACCACACCGTGCACCTCCCTAAAATGCCTCTTCCACTCCTCATATTCCTCTTCTCCGTTCCCAAAATCTACTCTCTATATCCCTCTGCTCCTCCCAAACAACTGTATATTGTGTCCTCACTGCTTCCTTCGCCCCTCTACGGCACCCACCACCTCCTTCTAATACTCCACTCTCCCCATGACCTGAACACCTCCGCTGGTAGATTTACACGCTCCTGCACATCCCGCGCCCATGCCACCTTTCTCACCCTTCTCCTCCTCCTAACCGCGGGGAACATCTCCCCGAACCCTGGCCCTCCACCACCTTGCTCACCCACACAGCACCCTCCCGCTTCCACATCCTGCCGCAACCCCTGCAACTTAGTATCTGTCCCCCTGCTCCCTAAAACCACCCCCCCCCCCCCCCGATCGGTGTGCAACAAGCTCACCGCCATCCATGACCTCTTTGTTTCCCGCTCCCTCCACCTCCTAGTGATCACGGAAACCTGGATCCAGGCCACTGATTCTACCTCCCCTGCTGCACTCTCCTACGGAGGTCTCACCTGGACCCACTCACCCAGACCCAACGGTCGTAAAGGTGGTGGGGTTGGTCTGCTCCGGTCACCGCAGAGCACCTTCCGAGTCCTCCCAAACCCCCCTCTCTATCCTTCTCCTCCTTCGAAGCCCACTGCATCCGACTATTCTCCCTAACCCCCCTGAAGATTGCCATTATCTACCGGCCTCCTGGACCCGTATCCTGCTTCCTTGATGACTTTTCCTCCTGGTTACCTTTCTTTCTCTCCTCCGAGCTACCCACCATCATCCTTGGGGATTTCAACATCCCTGTCAACATTGACAACCCGGCCACATCCCAACTCCTCCACTTAACCTCCTCCTTTGCACTTGCACAGTCCATACAATCCACCACCCACTCCGACGGAAACATCCTGGACCTTGTCTTCTCCAACCGCTGCGCTCCCCACAGCCTCACTAACACCCCCTTTCCCTCTCTCTGACCCACAACCTTATTACCTTCTCTAACGCCTACCCCTCCAAATGCCATACTACTACCAGCCGTAACCTCCACAACCTGAACCCTGCCCCCCTCCACTCTGCAGCTGATTAACTCCATGACAGCATCCTCCCCCTGTCCAGCTATGACTGCCTATAACAACGCGCTGTCAACAGTCCTTGACTCACTAGCACCTTTAACCACACGAATCATCAGACCCCGACTGCTCCAGCCCTGGCAGACTAATGACACCAAAACTCTCAAACGACACAGTCGTGCCCTGGAGCGACTATGGCGCAAAACCAGATCCCAACAAGCCTTCACCCGCTATAAATCTGCCTTCCACACCTACACCCCCTCCCTCCACGCCGCAAAACAAGCCTACTTCCTGACCCTCATCAAGACCCTCTCCTCCAATCCTCGCCGACTCTTCTCCACCTTTAACTCTCTACTCTCGCTGCCCCCACCTCCACCCAGCACCTCACTCACTGCCCTTGAGATTGCCAATCACTTCAAACACAAGACTGACACAATTCGCAAGGACATCGCCAGAGCTCACACTCCCTCCAAACCCGTCCCCTCTCACACAACTACCCCCTCATCACCCCTCTCCCTCGGCACAATCCACAGGGACTTCGTCGCTGCTCAAACTCCCTCCAACCCCATCCCCTCTCACACAGCTACCCCCTCATCACCCCTCTCCCACCACTGCTCTGACCTCCACCTCACGCAACATTCCTCACACTGAAGCCCCCTCAACACTCCCCACCTTCGACGCTACTACCATCGAGGAAGTCTCCAAGGTCTTCTCTGATGCCCACCTCACCACCTGCCCCCTCGACCCTATCCCTCACAACTCCTGCGACCTCCCTCCCCCTCCAACCTACGCTCCCTCACCCACATCTTTAATCTCTCCCTCTCTTCCGGCGCATTCCCCTCCTCACTGAAGCATGCACACATCACCCCCATACTTAAAAAGCCCTCCCTGGACCCCAATGACCTGAACAACCTTAGACCCATCTCCCTGCTCCCATTCACATCCAAACTCCTCGAGCGCTTAGTCTACACTCGCCTAAGCTCTCAACGACAACAACCTCCTCAATCCCCTACAGTCCGGCTTCCGTCCCCTACACTCCACCGAAACCGCCTTACTCAAACTATCCAATGACCTTCTAACCGCCAAAGATAATGGCCACTATTCAGTGCTCCTACTCCTTGACCTCTCCGCGGCCTTCGACACAGTCGACTACCCCCTCCTCCTCAATAAACTACACTCCCTCGGCATCAGAGATTCTGCTCTATCCTGGCTCTCATCCTACCTATCACAACGCTCTTTCAGCGTTACCTATAACGCTACCACCTCCCCCTCACTCCCCCTCTCTTTTGGGGTCCCTCAAGGCTCCATCCTCGGGCCCCTTCTCCATCTACACCTCCTCCCTTGGCCAACTCATACACTCTCACGGCTTCAACTACCACCTCTATGCCGACGACACACAAATCTCTCAACCCCCCCACCTCACCCCCTCAGTCTCCGCCCGAATCACAAACCTACTGTACGACATATCGGACTGGATGTCGCTTCACTTCCTTTCCCACTTGAGCTCCTGAGGATTTACCCCCCTTAATGACCAGGCCTCTTTTTGCTACTCGGCGCTGCACTAATTCAACTGATAATTGCGCGGTCATGCAATGCTGCACCTAAACGAAATTTACGTCCTTTTTTTCACACAAATAGAGCTTTCTTTCGGTGTAATTTGATCACCTGTGCGCTTTTTATTTTTCACCCTATAAACAAAAAAAAAGGCCAAAACTTTTGAAGAAAAACAATATTTTTTACTTTCAGCTATAAAAAATATATAGTAAACTCAAAGTTGGTTATAAATTTAGGCCAAAATGTATTCTGCTACATGTTTTTGGTAAAAAAAAAATCCCAATAAGTGTATATTGATTGCTTTGTGTGGAAGTTATAGCGTCTACAAACTATGGTATAAATACTGCAATTTACGCCATTTTTCTGCTATACAGCGCTGCACTAGTTTAACGGACAATTGCGTGGTCATGCAATACGGTACATAAATGAAATTTACATCCTTTTTTTCCCCCACAAATTGAGCTTTCTTTCGGTGGTATTTGATCGCCTGTGCGGTTTTTATTTTTTGCGCTATAAAAAAAAAGGCTGACAATGAGGGAAAAAAACCCAATATTTTGTACTTTTTGCTATAAAACATGTCCAGTAAAAAAAAAAATGCAAAAATCAAATTTAGTCATAAATTTCTGCCAAAATGTATTCTGCGACATGTCTTTGCTAAAAAAAATCCCAATACGTGTAAATTAATTGGTTTACGTGAAAGTTATAGCTTTTACAAATGGCGGGAAAGATACTGGAATTTTAAATTTTTATTTATACTAATAATGGCGCCGATCAGCGACTTTTGGCGGCGACCAGCGACATATGGCGGCGACCAGCGACTTATGGCAGGACTGCGGCGGACATTTTGACACGGGGGGGGGGGGGGGGAACTGACTTGGGGTCACTGACATCCCCAGTGACACCAATACAGTGATCAGTGAAAAAAAAAACACTGAAACTGTACTAATGTCACTGGGGAGGAAGGGGTTAACATTTTTTAGAATTTGCTATGTAAGGGGAGTGTTTTACTAGGGTTCAGGGGTGTGTACTGGGGGGGGGGGGGGAGCTGATCTAGGGAGAGAAACTCTGCATCTTCTCACAAGCTGTCAGAGAACTGACACAGAACAGGGCTGTGTGTAAACAATGCAGCCCTGCTCTGTGTCAGCGATCACCGTCAATCGCAGGAAAACGGCCAGTAAAAACCGGCCGTGACCCGGCGGCTGACACCTGCTGCTGACACCCGCGGGACAGGTAGGGCGGGTGCGCGCCCCCTACCTGTTTTGAAGGCAGCCGTTTTAAAACGTGCTTTTGACTACGAGTGCCACCCTGCCGCCGTTTATATGCGGTGGCTGGGCGGCAAGTGGTTAAACTAAACCTCTCCAAAACTGAGCTCCTAGTCTTCCCCCCCCAGCCCGCACACCACCCCACATTGACTTCTCCATCACGTCCAACAATACCACTATCAGACCCGTTCAGCAGGCCAGAGTACTTGGTGTCATTCTGGACTCCAACCTATCCCCAAGTCCAATCACCTCCGCAACATCGCCAAAATCCGCACGTTTCTAACCCCAGAAACCACTAAAAAGCTCATCCACTCCCTCATCATATCACGACTCGACTACTGCAACTCCCTCCTCACTGGCCTGCCCCGCCACAGGCTATCCCTGCTTCAGTCGATCCTGAATACGGCAGCCAGACTCATTCTCCTTACCAACCACTCAGTTTCCGCCACCCCCCTCTGCCAATCCCTCCACTGGCTTCCGATTGCGCAACGGATCAAATTCAAAATCCTAACACTGATGTACAAAGCTGTCCACCATACTGCCCCGAACTACATCACTGACCTAATATCCAAGTACCACCCAACACGCACTCTCCACTCCTCACAAGACCTCCTTCTCTCTAGTTCCCTGGTCTCCTCCTCCCCTGCCCGCCTCCAGGATTTCTCCAGGGTGTCACCCATCCTCTGGAACTCCCTGCCCCAATCCATCAGACTATCACCTACTCTCCTTTAGGCACACCCGAAAACCCACCTCTTCAGGTAAGCCTACCCCACCCCATGCTAATCTGCCGACCTCCTCCACTCTTCCTACCACTCTATCCCCACAGCTATCTCCTCCTGTACCACTATCCCCTCCCTCCTAGATTATAAGCTCGAAAGAGCAGGGCCCTCGAACCCCTCGTGTATCGCATTGTATTGGTATTGTACTGTCGCATGTTTGTAATGTACAGCGCTGAGCTAACTGTTGGCGCTTCATAAATACTGTATAATAATAATAATAATAATTGTATCTCAGTCCTGACTTATCTGATCCTTGTCTATTTACGGACATCTCCTGCCTGCTGCCTTGACCAGTACTTGCCCACTGACAGACCAAGTCTTTCGCTTGCTGCCTGGAATGACCATTTCTTGTTCACTGACCAAATCCCCTGCCTGTTGCCTGGACAAGTACTTGCCCGCTAACAGACCATGTCTTTTGCTTGCTGCCTGGACTGACCAATTCTCTTGCCTGATGCCTTGACCAGTACTTGCCCGCTAACAGACCATGTCTTTTGCTTGCTGCCTGGACTGACCAAGTCTCTTGCCTGATGCCTGGACCAGTACTTGCCCACTGACAGACCACATCTTTTGCTTGCTGCCTGGACTGACCATTGCTTGTTCACTCACAACGTTTCTTGCCTGCCACCCGTAATGACCCTTGCCCGTTTACTGACCGCGCTTGTCTGTTGCCTGGACTGACCCCTTGGCTGTTTACCGATCGCGTTTCTGTCTGCTGCTCGGGCCAACCCCTCACCATTTTATTTGATTACTCTCTAACTGGCTCACATGTCCTCCATCCTCTGAGGACATCTGTATCTTCCTGCACCACAGCTACTCTTCTGCTACTCTTGCTTAGCCTCAGCTACCTGGCCAGAGTAGCATTACGTGCTAAGTCCTGGAGGCAACCAAGTACTAATAGGCCTGCTTGACGGTTATACTAAATAATATCCAAAAGCTATCACCACAAGATGCTCAACTGAAGGCCCATGCACCAATTTCCTTAAAGTGTTACTAAACCCCGGACCCCGCATTCACAAGATCCGCTCTCCCCGGGCCCCGCATTCACTAGATCCGCTCTCCCCGGGCCCCGCATTCACTAGATCCGCTCTCCCCGGGCCCCGCATTCACTAGATCCGCTCTCCCCGGGCCCCGCATTCACTAGATCCGCTCTCCCCGGGCCCCGCATTCACTAGATCCGCTCTCCCCGGGCCCCGCATTCACTAGATCCGCTCTCCCCGGGCCCCGCATTCACTAGATCCGCTCTCCCCGGGCCCCGCATTCACTAGATCCGCTCTCCCCGGGCCCCGCATTCACTAGATCCGCTCTCCCCGGGCCCCGCATTCACTAGATCCGCTCTCCCCGGGCCCCGCATTCACTAGATCCGCACTATTCCTCGAACTGACACCAATGATGGGGTACTATTCCTCCCACTGACACCAATGATGGGGCACGATTCCTCCCACTGACACCAATGATGGGGCACGATTCCTCCCCTGACACCAATGATGGGGCACGATTCCTCCCACTGACACCAATGATGGGGCACGATTCCTCCCACTGACACCAATGATGGGGCACGATTCCTCCCACTGACACCAATGATGGGGCACGATTCCTCCCACTGACACCAATGATGGGGCACGATTCCTCCCACTGACACCAATGACACCAAATCCTCCCACTGACACCAATGATGGGGCACGATTCCTCCCACTGACACCAATGATGGGGCACGATTCCTCCCACTGACACCAATGATGAGGCACGTTTCTTCCCACTGACACCAATGATGGGGCACTACATCCCACTGACACCAATGATGGGGCACTATTTCGCTCCATAAGACACACTAGGGGGGAAATGTCTGTGCGTCTTATGGAGCGGGGCCGGCCCAGTATTCCAGCCACCGTTGTATGTCTGCAGTCTCTGCTCATCTCCTGTACTGTGTCCGCATTTGTTCATAGTTTTTTTATTTAAACTATAGTCCGGCCCTCCAACGGTCTGAGGGACAGTGAACTGGCCCCGTTTAAAAAGTTTGAGGACCCCTGGTCTAGATTGTGCCAGAGAAGGAATGGATTAGGACCTTTCCAGGTCTTTTGCTCATCGCTCACCTATGCCAATATCCGCTGGATACTCTTCCTCTTTGATGGTCACGTGAATGACGTCGTCATCGCCCCCTTGCTCTTCTTTTTTCTCTTGTTTGACAAAAATCTTAAAGTCGCCTACGTGTTCATCCTAGAGGTTTCGGGAAATAAATAGGCTTCGTCAATACAGATTTCAAGAAATAGACTTCGTCAATACGGATTATGAGAAGGCTCAGGGACCTCTCCGGTCACGCAGCATGTGAATGATATGAGTGTTCGGCTCTGTCGTTTGTACCTGCAGAGGAAATACAGCGCCTACCTGATAAAACCGCGTGACGCCGTGGCGGTCGTCTATACCGTCTCGGGAATAATGAGGATTGGGAGATCCTTCTTGCGAAACTGCGTTACTAGATCCATCTGTAGGAAACGCAGAAACACTGACTGAATCCATTGTTTCTATGCGTTTATCAGATGATGGGGGGGGGGGGGGGGGGTCTAGGTGGATCCAACGTACTGCTCTCTTCAAAAGTCTCCTCTTACCTGATGAGGACAGGGAGTGGTGATCCTGGATGACCTCTTCTTTGTAGTCATCGTCAGACCCCCATACCTGCAGAGAAGAAGACAATCTGATGACCTCAAATTACGGCAACCATGCTTCAGATATTTAACAGCTTGCAGAACATTTCCTGCGGCAGGTCCGCTCGTACGGGCGCAGTCACGTACCCACACATTGCGGCTTGCTTCCGGGCCTGCTCTCGAGGGCATGGAAGTCTGTGAGACTTCCAAGCTGATCAGCGGGTTCTAGCCAAATGGCTTATGGCCGGGATCTGCTCTTGGCTCAGTGAACGACAGAAGAGAGCTCTGTGTTTGTAAACCACATAGGGCTCTCTTCAGATAGCAGTGATGTGCTGTTTTTTTGGGGTTTTTTCCCTCCCTGCAAAGAAGGGAATAAAAACCGGCACATTGCTTAGTAAAAGCAACACATACTACACACAGTAAACACTGTTAGGCACACACTTGGTCATGGGTGCTCAACCTGTGGCCCTCCTGGTGTTGCAGATCTACAAATCCCATGAAGCATTGCAAAGCAGACAGTTACAAGCATGACTCCCAAAGGCAGAAGCATGATGGGACTTGTAGTTCTTCAACAGCTGGAGGGCCTCTAGTTTGACAGCCCTGCCCTAGATCATGGGTGTGCTCAACCTGTGGCCCTCCAGGTGTTGCAGATCTATTAATCCCGTGAAGCATTGCAAAAGCTGACAGTTACCAGCATGACTCCCAAAGGCAGAGGCATGATGGGACTTGTAGTTTCACAACAGCTGGAGGGCCACCAGTTTGACAGCCCTGCCCTAGATGTAAACCCCTTCCCATCAAGTGTCATTAGTACAGTGACAGTGTTTATTATTAGCACTAGTCACTGTATTAGTATCACTGGCGATGTCAGTGGCGGTAGTGCCACATTGCCCGCCGCACTATCACAGTCCCAATGTGATTCGCTGATCGCTGCCATTACTAGTATAAAAAGTAAATAAAAATTCCAGTATATATCCTATAGTCTGTAGATATGATCACTTTCATGTGAACCAATTATTATGCACTTACTGGAATTATTTTAATTTTTTTTTTTTTTACTAATTTTGGCCAAAATTTATAAGGATGTTAGTATTTTTTATTGGATAGAATTTAGTTTTTCAAAAATTTGTGGTCTTTTTTCATTTATATAATAAAAAAAAAAATCCCAGTGGTGATCAAATGCCACCAAAAGGAGCTGTGTGGAAAAAAAAAAAAATTCTGAAAAGTTGGTTTGCGTACATTGCATGCCCGTGCAATTACTACTTAAAGTAGCTCAGTGCTAAACAGAAAAAAATGGCCTGGTCATGAAGGGAAGAGGGGGGGACCTTCCAGAGCACGAGTGGTTAAATACTGCTCCTAGCAATGTCTATCCATATACCAGATTGTCTGATCTCGACACACAAGACACCTCCAGGTCTCCTAGTTCTCATCAGAAACGGGAACGGATCACCAGAATTGGATCCTCCATATCAGTCAACCAGTCGTACTGTCCTGCCAAAGACCACCGGCATGTCCCAGAATTCCCAGCACCGCTCACCTCTCCGGTCAGCACCTCAATGATCTTGTGGGTGACTTCTAGGATCTTCTGTTCCTTATTGTTCTTATGGACCAGTGAAAGCGGTGAGGGCACAGTGTCGGGGCTCTGGCTCCTGCTCCAGGTGCTGGAAGTTTGGTTGCGGTTCCTGGAAGTCAGAAGCTCTCCTGATGTCTTTTTCAAAACCAAACAATCCTGCAAAGCAAAAAATGAAAAGTATAAAATACACAGAAGGACCCCATAGACCGGATCATGGAAGATGTCATGTGACCTCCCAGAATCCTCCTCACCTCTCCGGTCAGGTGTGTGTTTTATTAATAGAGATGAGAGTGATGTCATGTGACCTCCCAGAATTCTCCTCACCTCTCCGGTCAGGTCTGTGTTTTATTACTAGATAGAAGTGATGTCATGTGACCTCCCAGAATCCTCCTCACCTCCCCAGTCAGCTCTGTGTTTTAATAATAGAGATGAGAGTGACGTCATGAGACCTCCCAGAATCCTCCTCACCTCTCCGGTCAGGTCTGTGTTTTATTAATAGATAAGGGTGATGTCATGTGACCTTCCAGAATCCTCCTCACCTCTCCAGTCAGGTCTGTGTTTTATTAATAGAGAGGAGTGATGTCACGTGACCTCCCAGAATCCTCACCTCTCCGGTCAGCAGGTAGATGATCTCCAGGGTGAGGTTCAACAACCTCTCGGTCATCTCATCCCTTTCCTCGATCACATGACTCTTCTCCTGGTTCCCCTTTTTCGGAAGAGTCAGGTCGATGCATTCCATTTCGTCCTGGAAGAAGACGACACATTTGCTCGTTTAGACATTGGAGTCACTATATGGATAGAATGACATTAAAAGGACGCGGTTTTATTTCCACAATTCGGAACGAGTCAGAAGATTGTGTCTGTAATACATACATCATTATCAACACTTAAATATGGACCTGGCGATATAGGAAAACACGGCATGCTATAGTCCTCCACTTCAGCCTGATGGTTGGAGGACCTCATTGGTCACTGCTCCCTCAGGGCAATGAAAGTACATTTCCTCCCCCCCCCCCCCCCCCGGGCACATCCTAGAAGCAAATGGATGGGGAGATCATAGATCAGCCATATATACAGCGGGGAAAATAATGATTTGATCCCCGGCTGATTTTGTACCTTTGCCCACTTACAAAAAAACAAAGGGTCTAGAATTTTTATAAAATCCGTGTATTTTAACCACTTCCAGACTGGACACTTTTACCCCCTTCCTGACCAGGGCAATTTTCAGCTTTTAGCGCTATCACACTTTGAATGACAATTGCGCGGTCATGCAACACTGTACCCAAATGAATTTTTTACCATTTTTTTGAGATAGATAAAGCTTTATTTTGGTGGTATTTATTCACCACTGGGATTTGTATTTTTTTTGCTATGTAAATGAAATATCCTAAAATTTTGAAAAAAAGTGTTTTTTTTATAAAATTTTGCAAATAAATAATATTTCATCATAAATCTTAGCCAAAATTTATTCCGTTATCTTTTTAGTAAAAAAAAAAAATCCAAATTAGTTTATAAGCAAAAATTATAATTTTTAAACATTTTTTTTTACATTTTTATATTATTATTTTTTATTTTTATATACTGTCACCCTAGGAGTACAGTGTCACCATGGTGACACTGTACTACTTGTGAGGGGTGATGAAGAATTTTTTTTTTTTTTTTTTTACACTGATTGCTTTTACACCCATATAGGATGTAAAAGCAATCATTTCTCTTTCTCTCTGTGTGCATTCTTGCACTCATTGAGAAGAACTGAGTGAGCTGTGATTGGTCACAGCTTGTCACATGGTACAAGGCTTTTGTGAATAGCCTTGTACCATGTGACCTCTGTGATCATTCACAGATTTCACACATAGTAAGCAATGATGTCAGAAGTGACATCTTGCTTACTACTTTGCATGTGATCACTGATTGGCCAATCAGTGATCACATGATCGGGACCTCGTACAGAGGTCCCGTCCAACGATCGGTGTTTCACTGTGTCCGGAGGACACAGCGGGCACCGGATCGCAGTGCTGCGCGCTCCCAGGGAGCGCGCACAAGCAGGGTGCGGGGAGGCCGTTTATAGACGGCCACCCGACCCTGCAGTGCCACCGTCCGGCCGTTTATATACAACGGCCGGTCGGGAAGTGGTTAAATTGTAGAGACGGAATATCAACCAAAAATCCAGAAAAAAACTCATGATACAAATGTTATAAATTGGGTTGCAGTCCAGTGAGTAAAATAAGTATTTGATCCCCAAGCAAAACATGACTTGGTAGTTGGTGGAGGAACTCTTGTTGGCAAGCACAGAGGTAAGACATTTCCTGTAGTTGGTTCCCAGGTCTGCACACATCTCGGGAGGCATTTTGGTCCACTCTTTACAGATCTTCTCCAAATCCTTAAAGGTTTATTAGCTGTTGCTTGGCAACTCGAAGTTTCAGCTCCTTCCATACATTTTCTATAGGATTAAGGTCTGGAGATTGGCTATGCCACTCCGTGACCTTAATGTGCTTCTTCTCGAGACACTCCTTTATTATTATTTTGGGTCATGGTCATGCTGGAAGACCCATCTCCAACCCATCTTCAGGATTCTGGTTGGGGGAAGAAGGTTCTCTTCCAAGATTTTACAATACAGTGGGGGAAAATAATTATTTGATCCCCTGCAGATTTTGAATGTTTGCCCATTTACAAAGAAACAAAAGGGTCTATAATTTGTATCAATCGGTGTATTTTAAATGGTAAAGACAGAATATCAACCAAAAATCCAGAAAAAACTCATGATACAAATGTTATAAATGGGAGTTTCAGTCCAGTGAGTAAAATAAGTATTTGATCCCCAAGCAAAACATGACTTGGTATTTGGTGGAGGAACCAGTGTTGGCAAGCACAGAGGTGAGACGTTCCTTGCATCTGGTTCCCAGGTTTGCACACATCTCAGGAGGCATTTTGGTTCACTCTTCTGTACAGATCTTCTCCAAATCCTTAAGGTTTATTGGCTGTCACTTGGCAACTCAAAGTTTCAGCTCCCTCCATACATTTGCTATCAGAGTAAGGTCTGGAGACTGGATAGGCCACCCCGTTACCTTCATGTGCTTCTTCTTGAGACACTCCTTTGTTGCCTTGGTGGTATTATTTTTGGGTCATTGTCAGGCTGGAAGACCCATCCACGACCCATCTTCAGGGTTCTGGTTGGGGGAAGAAGGTTCTCGTCCAAGATTTTACAATACAGTGAGTAAAGTAAGTATTTGATCCCCAAGCAAAACATGACTTGGTACTTGGTGGAGGAACCGTTGTTGGCAATCACAGAGGTAAGACGTTCCTTGCAGTTGGTTCCCAGGTCTGCACACAGCTCAGGAGGGATTTTGGTCCACTCTTCTTTAGAGTTCTTCTCCAAATCCTTAAGGTTTCTTGGCTGTCGCTTGGCAACTCAAAGTTTCAGCTCCTCCATACATTTTCTATAGGATGAAGGTCTGGAGACTAGCTAGGGCACTTCAGGACCTTAATGTGCTTCTTCTTGGGACACTCCTTTGTTGCCTTTTGCGGTATGTTTTGGGTCATTGTCATGATGGAAGACCCATCCACGACCCATATTTAGGGTTCTGGTTGGAGGAAGAAGGTTCTCATCCAAGATGGCCTCATCCATTGGCTCCTCAATGCGGCAAAGTCGGCCTGTACCTTTAGCAGAGAAAAAGCCCCCAAGCATAAAGTTTCCACCTCTGTGCTTGACTGTAGCGACGGTCTTCTTACGGTCATAATCAGCATTTTTCTCCTCCAAACATGACGAGTCGAGTTAATGCCAAAGAGTTCAATTCTGGTCTCGTTTCACCAAAGCAATCCTTCTCTGAATCATTTAGATGTTCATTGGCAAACTTCAGACGGGCCTGGACATGTGCCTTCTTGAGGAGGGGGACCTTGCGGGTGCTGCAGGGTTTCGATCCATGGCGGCGTATTGTGTTACCAATGGTTTGATCTGTGACTGTGGTCCCAACTGCCTTGAGATCATTCACAAGCTCCTCCCGTGTATCTCTGGGCTGATCCCTCACTTTTCTCATGACCATCCTTACCCCATGAGGTAATCTTGCATGGAGCTCCAGACCGAGGGCGATTGACGGTTACTTTGTATTTCTTCCATTTGCGAACAATCGCTCCAACGGTTGTCTCCTTCTCACCAAGCTTCTTGCTGATGGTCTTGTAGCCCATTCCAGCCTTGTGCAGGTCCACAATCTTATCCCTGACATCCTTGGACAGCTCTTTGGTCTTGCCCATGATGGTGGTGAGCTTTGAATGGAAAAAAAAAGAGATTCTGTGGACAAGCATCTTTTTTATACACACAACGAGTTGTCGTTAAGAAGGAGCACCTTCTCCAATTGACAGGACTACTCTGTGTACCACATGACCACATAGCCAGTCTCCTGGTTGGGGGGGGGGGGGGGGGGGGGGAAATCAAATACTTATTTTACTCACTGAACTGCAACTCCATTTATAGCATTCATTTGTATCGTGCTTTCCCTGTAGTTAAAAAATAGTTTTTTCAAATATTAACTTTTTAAATAACAATAATAAAAAAATATATATTTTTTATTATTATTAATAGTTTTAATTAATATAAAACTAAATGAAATGACTACATTTGTAATAATGTAAATTAAATAGTATATCTTTACAAATTTAATAAGCTAATTTTTTTCTATAAGCCGAGGTACCTAATTTTACCACAAAAAACTGGGAAAAACTATTGACTCGAGTATAAGCCGAGGGTGGGGTAGCTTTAGAACAGTGCTTCTCAATTATTTTCTGTCATGCCCCCCCTAGGAAGGCGAAAACATTTTGCGCGCGCGCCCCCCCCGCGCGACTGTAAATAGTATCATTTGTCTATAAAATTGTTATACGTAGGAATAGTGCCCCATCGTTGGTGTCACTGGGAGGAATAGTGCCCCATCGTTGGTGTCACTGGGAGGAATAGTGCCCCATCGTTGGTGTCACTGGGAGGAATAGTGCCCCATCGTTGGTGTCATGGGAGGAATAGTGCCCCATCGTTGGTGTCACTGGGAGGAATAGTGCCCCATCGTTGGTGTCACTGGGAGGAATAGTGCCCCATCGTTGGTGTCACTGGGAGGAATAGTGCCCCATCGTTGGTGTCACTGGGAGGAATAGTGCCCCATCGTTGGTGTCACTGGGAGGAATAGTGCCCCATCATTAGTATCAGTGACACCAATGATGCGGCACTATTCCTCCCACTGACACCAATGACACTTGCTGACCCCTGTTGCAGTATGGTGCTGCTGCAGCCAGCATATGTGGTTGCAGCAGCACCTCTGCACTGCACACTTACCGGCTTTTCCCTCACTCGATTTTCGCGGGTCCGCTCGGCTCCGCCTCCTCGCCCGTGATTGGCCGCCTGTGTACCTTTCCTGAGCTACAGTTCTGGCAGCCAATCACCGGTGAGGAGGCGGAGCCGAGCGGCAGGAGTGAGGGAGTGGCCGGAGTGACGGAAGGAGCAGCGCTTCCTGGATGGATCATCGTGGGAGCCAGGTAAGAGACAGCAGCCCTCTGCCCACCACTGTACGCGCCCCTGCTAGACATCTGCAGACGTTGACTCGAGTATAAGCCGAGGGGGCCGTTTTTCAGCACAAAAAAATGTGCTGAAAAACTCGGCTTATACTCGAGTATATACGGTACATT